AAGGTGGTGGCACTTAGGCGTGAATCCCGGGATCCGGAGATGGGCGGATCCCGGGATTCACGCGTAAGTGCCACCACCTTGAGTTTCCGTTATATCTTCCTTAGCTAGCCAGTGTTTTTTGCGCCCTCTTTTGTTCTTTTGATTATCTGCGTTTACAGGTTCTCCTCCTGTTTCCCAGGGCTGCATACATGTCTGCAAGTTAACTTTTTCCCATGCGAGAGCGCTGTTTATGTTTTTTCTGTTTATGACAAGTAACAGCCGTCATGATGGTTACCCTTTAAAAGACAGTCATATACCCCCCGAGATGTGTGTGTGTGTATCACTGGTTGGGAAACCATGTTCTGCATCTTGGAGAGAGGGGAAAAATGATACTGTGTCCACATTCTTGACTAGTATGACATGTATTATTAAATGCCCCATACTAGTATACAGCAGGATGAGAACAGACTGGCTTGCATTGTGTGTTCTGTCTGATTTTATTGTATTGTTACACTTTTATTATTGTACAGTAACATAATCTTTAGTGATGCTCAAATGACCTGTCATCTCTGTTTACCAAACATGATCCGTTTAAGCTGTGGTTGTGCTATAGTACTATGCTGTTACTTGATTCTTTATTTCTTACTCAGACTTCCTTATATAAAGGTGTTTACTGACAAGCTTTGTGTAATTGTATTGGCGTGGATGTGAAGGAGAAAGCTGTGTTTATGATTGCATATCAAGAGTCAAGGGCTTCACTAGCGTGTTGTATGTAGAGCTGGAGGAAGGAGAAATATCGACTAGTACTTTACTAGTTGTTTTTGTGTGCAGTCATGGAAGCAAATAGGAGGTTCCCAAATATATTATGACTTGATTGTACCAGAAGCAAATTGTTGTTGTGGTTGTATGTGGTGCTGCCAAGGTTGGCGTGTTTTGTCATATCCAGTCATATGAAGTGTTGAACTGTAAAGATCTGACTTAGCCAGCTTTCTAGGCAATCAAAATAGTTACATGGTCATATTGTAAGTATACTTTAGCCTGCCTAGTAAATTTTTTTGGCTTTAGTTCTCTTTTGGGTGAGAGGAGTACATTTACTATGGGCTACTATGTGCCCCCACCTGCGTGATGTGATGCAAAGCTGTTTCTATGCACACTGACACAGCATTACTTCTAGATGCATTAGGTAAACCTAATAGGCTTGCTTCCTCTCCATTAGAACTACTGTAATTGTTCATCTGCATCAGAAGAAGTAATATTTCATCCGCAGTCATTTCCTGCTCTGCCATCCATCTCATTAGAAGTACAAAGGAAGCTTGCAGATGCACCTTGTTGGGGTTTCTACTCTGAGTGAAGTCTGTGTGTTTTAGCCAACAACTATACAACTATAAATGTGATTTTTGAGTTTAGTAAAGTAAACCTCGTTGATGTCTGTGTGCCTAAACTGCTGGCACTAAGGGCTGAACTGAATAGGCCATTTTAAACATGTTACTGAGCTTTTCAACTACATGCTGGCATTTGCTGCCAAACATTAGTCTCATCGTATTGCAGATGAGGTGATATGCTGAATGTTATACCCCATGAATGAATTATGATGATGTTTAGCCAATCGTGTTTTACACACCTCTGCCACGCTGCACAGCCAGGTGGGAGACACTTTTCTTTCTGTCTTCAGCCTGTTTATTGCACACTGAATCACGTCTGCCCCATCATCCAGGAAGGCGTGGAATTATGGCTGTGTAGTATGGCAGAGATTTGTGAATCCTAAGGCCCCACCTATACATGAAGCATTCAAAAAGCGTGTGCCTTGCTTGCGGGGCCATTATTGCTAATGGAGCCTAAATGCATCAAGCAAGACACGCATTTTTCTGCTTACAGCCCAAACAGCTTCATGAGCTTCTTTGGCGTGTTTGTCACACATGGAGCCACCCATTCAAATTAAAGTGGAACATCACAAGCGTTGTAGCACACTGCAGTGCACAAATGTGACCTAGGGCTGCAACCAACTAATCGATAAATGAGTGGGCGGGTGCAATAGCTAGCCTGCTATTGCAATTTGAAATGGCCAATAGCAGGCCAGCTATTGCACCAGCCCTCTACCTGCTGTATTTACATTCAGCTGCTGTCTGCAGAATCTTTCAGCTGTCATTCCCGGGCTGAATCTATTCAAGCGCCATGTGCTTACAATACAATTATAAAAAAAAAAAAAGTCATTGTTTCGGCCTGACAGATTCTCCTGCAGAAGGTGTGTTGCAGTGCCATTCATTTCAATGGCACCCCAAACGTGCCTCCCACCAACAGTGTGATCACCTGCACTGGAACACACAGTACCGAAATGTTGTGCGGTCCAGTGCAATATAATTGCAGAAAATTGTGCACGCAGTTTTATTCCGAAGTCAACCTTGTAACACTGCATTTGTGTGTTTTTTTTTTTTGTTTTGTTTAAATTAAGGATGGTATTTATTTTTATTCAGTTAATCGAAAAAAAAATCGGCCAACTAATTGAGAAAAATCATTAGTAGTTACAGCCCTAAATGTGAACGATCTATGCGTTGTGGTATTTGTAAAAAAAATAAAAATTGTCTGTTTAAAATATGCATTGTCTTGTATTGGGGACCCATTCATACCACAATGCTTTGTGGTACACAGTGTTCACTGGTAGCCCATTCAAAATTAGGCTTCATTCACAATCGACACTTTTTTTTTTTTTTGCTCTCTATGCAGAAAAAAAATCTGTCAGGCTAAATGATGTGTGTATGCTTTTAGATGTGTTAAATTACGCATGTTTACATGTGTTTATGTGCATTTAGATGCATCTGGTACCAATTCCTAGCATCAAATCCCCTTTATATGTGTTTTGGTGCGTTTATTACTATTATTATTATTATTATATAGGATTTGGGTTTAGAAGTTAAAACCGATTCCTGGACGCACCTGAATTCTTTTTTTTCTAAACGCAGCTAAACTGACTGCAGATTAAAGCATCTAAACGCAAAGTGTGTGAATAGATTTATTGGAGTTTATTCGATGCATATATATGCGTTTAGAAAACCATTTTAGATGCATCTAAATGCACTGAGTGTGGATGAGCTGCACTGCACCTCACAGGACTCCCTGCATTGTGCTACAGTGAGTTGCAGCGCATCCGTGTGTTGGAGGTGAGTTGAGGAACCATTCACAATGAATGGCACCAATGCGTGTTACCGTAATGCATGTTTACTGTGCTGTACCACAAAGCAGTTGGTGTGAATGAGCCCATATCCCTCTGTTAACCTGCTGTTTTTATTAGAGGGACAATTCATAGATGTCATGGGTAAATAACTGCTCATTGGTCTGTCTTTGCAGCAAGGGTAGGCAACCTTTGGCACTCCAGCTGTGGTGAAAGTCCCATGAGGCCTTTCAAGACTCTGACAGCCACTGACATGGCTCCCAGAGGCATAGGCATGATGAGATTTGTAGTTTCACCACAGCTGGTTGCTGTGCCTACCTTAGCTTTACAGTGTTTATT